CTGAAAGGGCAAACACTCTTGAGTTGTACGCCCGAACACTCGACTTGGGTTTTGGGATGGGGAATGTGGATGGGGAATGACGGCTGAGACAATGCCGGATGATGATCTGCCAAGATCCAGATGCAGATCCAGATCTTCACAAGGAGCCAGTGAGCAATTCATATTCATTCATATTTGTATTTACTTAACTCGCCGATGAGGATGATGGTGATGGCGATGGTGGAGGAGATGCGATGATGACTTGCAACTTAACGAGAGCTGAATCTGTTGCCTTTATGCCCTCATATTTCCCCCATGCATATATATGTATAAAAGGCCCAGGCCATTCTCGATGCTTTATGGGACGCCCGTTGGCCGTGTAAATGGAGTTTCGACAGCCTAATTGGAGATCAACGCAGTATAATTGTCTGGATGCCCGGCTGCTCCGGCTTCTGATGATGAAGTCGTGGCCCGAGAACAGGTGAATGAATTTGTGACAGCCGCACAAAGGCAAATGATGTATTGATAGCATCTGTTTTTGGGCGGAGGAGCCGGATGAGCCAGGGAAAACGGCAGCCAAAGCGGCAGGACGTCTGCAGAACCTGCATTCGATTCCATTCGATTGTGAGTCAAAAAGTCTGGACTTTTATGCTGATGCTGCCGGCCTTTGTTGCCTTTTTGGCTGCCAGTTGTTATTATTCTGGATCTCGGATCTTGGCTCTTGGCTTTGTGGCTGCCCGGTCCTTTGTGAAAGGACAAATGCAAATTGAGGGCTGTAATTTTTGTTACAATTTGTTTTCTCTTTTATGATCTGCTTCAGATTTATCGACACAGTTCTTTTGAGGCTGTCTTTTATAATAATAAATGCTTGATGTATGGATGTTTTTGCCTTTTTAAAATAAAGGAACATCTTATTGAGAGAACACATGGATTTTTAAGTACGAAAGTGCTCAACTTATGACACATCTATACAATTCTGTGTTCTATAACTAAAGGGTTACAGTTAAATGTAGAATTTCAAACAAAATTCTATTTCATAACCTCGAGTTGCTAAAAAAAAAATATAATTAATTACTTAAATAATATAATCCACATGTCTATTCGGCTTTAAAAGTTGGAATGATAGCCTTTATGTTTTAGGTATCGGCTAGAGATCTTTACAATTTTCAATAACCCAATCTAAAGCTTAATTAAAAAAAAAAAGAAAGAAAAAAATCCTTCGAGCCGGATTTGAACCAGCGACCTATGGATGTCTACACTCGTAATGCCAATCTACAGTCCACCGCTCTACCAACTGAGCTATCGAAGGTCTATATATGGATCGCTGCAAAACGAGTTCATAAACAATCCAACTTGAAGACAACTTATCAGCTGAGACAAATTTAAGTGGCGGTATTTCGTTGGCAAAGAGGCGTCTTGGGGGGAAATGAGCTTCGCTTTATGCAGAGCCAGCAATGAATATCGAATGTGAGAGCCGATTGTTTTCGGATTTCTTGTTTTTTTTCGGCCAGATGAAAGGACGGCGACGGGTGTAAACACAGACAGTGCGTATCGGGGGCGACAATTAACGTGGCCACCTAGTAAACGCCGGCCGTGAGTCATCTCCCCGGGGAACCAGATACACCTATACCCTCTAAGCAGCATCGCCTGTGGCCTGTGGCCTGGGGATACGGATTCGGGAACCCGACCAAGTGAATCATGCCAGAGGCGCGCAGAAGACACGATCCGTCTTATCAGGCGAGTGGCCAGAGGTCCAGAGAACTCGGCCGGGGGCCTAGGACACATAACCACGTAGTATCTCAGCAGCAGCACTCGGACAAAGTGTGTTCCCGATAAGACAGAGGGCCATTTTTGACGGCCCAAAAGGCCAGGCCAGGGAAATACTTAACAAACCAATTAGGATGCCAAAAATGCGGCAAGTCATAAAAAACGAATACCGAAAACGGCCATCCCACCAAGATCGTGTGTTCTATATACGTATACCAACTAGGGATGGCAGCGTGAGAGACTGAGGAAGCTGTCCTATCTATAGGAATCGATAATAATAAATACCAAAACTAAGAAAACGTAACTTTCTGAATATTTCTAATTCATAAAATGTGTTTTATACTTAAAAATGGTTTTAAAACAAAAAAAGATTCAGATAAAAAAATGTTAGCTATAATTTTGGAATAAGACTTTAAAAAAGTGTATCTAAAAATATGAATTAGTATCGAACTTAAATAAAATAAACAAATTATTAATAATAAGTTTCACATCTAGTAACAAAAATTTGTATTTTATTATTATACTAAAAACGTGGTAATAGTATTTAACGAATCTATTATTTTTATATGTGTGCCATCTCTAATACTCACTTACGATGGTCAAAAAAGGTTAGCCAAGAAGTGCATCGGAGGAAGCGGAGCGAAAAAACTGACAGCTTACGGATAATTACCGAGGAAAACACACAGATGCAGGGAGGTTGGACTGACGGGAGGATGAGGGGCAGCTGAGGCCCTGGAGATGGAGATGAGGGACAGGTGAGCGGTACGGGGACGGGGAAAGCGGGATGGCTAAGCGCCATGAGCGGCGATTTGTGTGTGATCCATTGAGTAAGGTTTTTGAGGCTGTGAGTGTGCATGTGGATCGATTGCTCAAAACGTCTTGTTAGATAAGAAAAAATGATTCCCGCGGCGAGGGTTAGTTATTCGTAATTTGCTCAGGTATGTTACAACAAATGTTCATAATTTTTAAGAATGACTAGGAATCGGCTCTCGGCTTAGTTTCTCTCCCTTTTTCCTATTTCATACCAAGTTTTGCTTATCAGCGGTCTTCGATCTGAAGTCGGTCGGTGAGGGCTCTTGATCTTGGTATCAATTTCCCGCTATGATTGAATGAATTTTCCCAGTTCCAGTACTCTCAATATGTGGGCGTTGTCCTATCGCTTCAACAAATCTAGAAATTGCCAAGTTCCTAGGAAAACCGAGAAGTATTTTGGCAAGGCGTTAGACCCCTGAGTGGACTTTATCTCTCGCCGCCTTGTGTGTGGCAAGTCTCTCAGTTGACCAAGGCCTCGTTTTCGACCGCCTGATGAGTCATTTAATTGAGCCCAAAAAATACACTTTGCCACATGGAATGGGATGGGTAAATTAATTTACTCTCCAGATAATCTCAGAAAAATTCTCGAATGATTCATCCAACCTTCTTCCGATGGAATTGCATCTCGCTCTGGATTTTCATTTCATTTAGTTCTCTAATCGCACGGGCTATTAATAAACTAAGGTCGAATCTAGAATTTCAAACTACAGCCGAGCATAGGGCAATCCCCATTCTTATCAGCTAAAAATAAACTTTTCTTATACTATATTTAATGCTGATGTAAAATTAAAAAAAGTTAGCTGGTAATACTTCTCTATTTATTATTTTTTTTATGTTTTTACGTTTTTACATTTAGTTAAATAAAATTAATATATTAGTTCCCAATTAATAATAATTTAGGTAGTGTTATCTTTTTTTAGTTTGCATTTGAAACCATTTCAGGTTGTTGTGCAATTTCATTCACTTGACATTGATTTAAACAATCAACTGGGAATAAGTAAAAATTGTTGTGGACCTGAAATGTAGTATAATTAATATTTATTACCCACCCTTATCAGCATCAAAGTTCATTCAGCTGTTTGAATAGTTATTCCAGATTCCTATCGTTCCATTTGCCAGCAATTTGTTACGTTTTAGACATTTCTAGGGAAGTTGATATGCATGCAGATCGTTATCAGCCGTTTCGAGCTGGCTCATTTAATTAACAAATTACCCGTAGAGCTGAGCTTTCACAGCTGGCTTTCCACTGGTTTTGATTTGGTCAATACACGCTTTGCCTTTTTTTTATGTTTTTAATCTATAGAACGAAGCGCTCAGCTTTTCTTATCAACACGTATTGGGGTATTACCTGGGACAGGTTTTTTTGCCGCTCTTAATGCTGCGATAAGCGTTTTGCTATTTCGCTTGATTTTGTTTTTGCTGGGTACTTGGTAAATTCATTTTGATAAGGTGGCGAAATTTCGAATTGTCACCTGAACTGACAACACCTTCGATAGCTCAGTTGGTAGAGCGGTGGACTGTAGAAGTGTTTAAGATCTAGTATAGACATCCATAGGTCGCTGGTTCAAATCCGGCTCGAAGGATTTTTTTTTTTAATATTTATTTTAGTTTATAACAAAACCAAGACACCAGAAGTTATATTTTTCTAATAAATATTACAGAAATTATATTATTTCTGAAACTCAACTCAAAGTGATTGATTAAGCTAAAATTTTGGTTTCTAGTTTCATTTTTGTAATATCTTTTCGACTTTGGCAAGATAAATTCATAAAATCTGGAAAAGATATTTAATGAATTGATATTCTGACGGTTTTAGTTTTTCAATAAATTATAAAGACTTTTTTTTATTTTCAAACTCCCTTTCCCCCCACCTTAAATCCAAAATAAATAATAAAAATTGCTTATTTTTTTAATAAATTGTTTTTCTTTTATATTTTTCATCTTTCTTTTTCCTCTTCGCTCCCGCATCATCATCATCATCGTCGTCATCAAAAATATGCATTGTTTTAAATAAATAAAATAATAAAGTTTATATGAAAAATACATATACAAATCGTGCTCTGCAACATCAGGCACGAATCGATATTTTCCATTCATCGGGTTTTCTTTTTGTGGGTTTTTTGTTTCTTTCGTTTCTATTAATTTATCCAACATGCTGAGCTTAGGCGATAGGTCTTAAATTTCTAGATTAATTAACGTTTACGGATTTATTCGAGCTTAGCTTAGAACGCATAACGATGTAAATAGTTATTCATATATTTATAGAGCATACGTTTGTTTATACAGTTACGTTTAGTTGAATTCGGAACGATGTTTGAATACCCTTTCGTCGATATGTGTTTGTGTGTGTGTGTGCTTATGGATGAGTGTGTGCTGGTGTGTGTATCGCATATAAAGTATATAGGTATTTAGTACATATACAATATCTGTTTGTTTGTTTATCTATAACTATGTGTTTAGGACCGATAGTTCCTAAGTAATTTCAAGTCATTATTCGATTATACTCTCGCTAGTTAATTTACAAATGGATTGCTATTGCTTTATAAAATTATTAACAAAAAACGGCTAGTAGAATAGGTCTCCTTTCCACATACATACATACAATAGATACCAGTTCGCATCGATATAGTTGTTTAAAATATATATTATATTAGCATTTTTATACAATTTGTTCAATTGGTCGATTTACTCTTACACGTACTCCTCTTCTTCTACTCCTTCTCCTCCTTCTTCACCAGCAGCAGCTCACACAGATACGAAAGTATCTTATATCTGAAGTATCTGACGGATGGGCGGGTTGGGGGCGTGGCATGGCGGCTATATACAGTGGACTCTGCTCTCTCTCAAAATCGCTCTGATCTAGGATTTTTCCCCAGCCTGGCTGGGGAAATCGACAGAGGCTCCAAGGTGGGCGGTTTTCTTCTTCCTTATTTTTTTGTTTTTGTGTTGGGTAGATGGGTGGGCGTGGCTGCCGCCTTTTTTTATACGATTAAAGTCTAACGATTTACACTTAAAATTCAAATATTCAGTCCATTTTGTTTGCGTTGTGTTTAAAGCATTGACGGCTTGGAACCAAACAGCATTTGATGCTCTCTCGCTCGCGATTTCCTTGCCTTTTCCAATCTAGAAAATTTGGAAAAGCGGATGGCACGATGGTGCGATGGTGCGCGAATCTATCGACAGCCACAGCCCACCACGGTCATCTCCTGGTAGTTCTTCAGCACCACCGTACTTTGGTCGTTGAGATAGAGCATGGCCACGCTGTCCAGTTGCGTGGGCACGCAGCACGCCTTTGGCACCTTGCCGGGATTCATGTTGTTGACCAGGGTCTGCACCACCGCATGGTTGGTGGAGTTGAAGTGGTCGGCCAGCGGGAAGGGGCACTTTCCGTGGCAGTAGTACGCATCATAGCCCAGTGGTGCCACAATCCAATCATCCCAGCCGACGTCGGAGAAGTCCACATACAGCGAGTGCCGCCGGCAGGTGTCGTCGTGGTTCTTGCGGCGAGCCGGTCTCCTCGGTTGCCGCTTGTTCCTGCCGCCCTTGCCACCGCCTCCGCCTCCTTCCCCACCAGACACATCCCGGATGGAGCGCGCCTTGTGCCGCCCATCGTCCGTGTAGGTGAACAGGAGCGGCTGCTTGTGCTGCCACCGCTCGTGCGCCTCGTCCGCGCTGCGGCGCAGGCGCACATGATGATGGGGCGCCGGCTTCAGGGACCGCACCGTCCTCACCTCCACCAGCAGTCCGTAGTTCCGCTGCGGACTCGCCAGCCACCGGTCCACGGCCGGCTGGACATCGAGGCTCACCGTGTCCGTGCTGTTCAGCCGGACCGTCTTGGTGTCCAGCAGCAGATAGCTCGGCTCCCGCTGGCCACGCACTCCCACCCGCGTGATGTCGTAGACGAGCACCTGGTAGCGGGTCCGGTTCGCCGACGACGTCCTGGCCACCACCTGCGGACTGAGGGCGTCCCGCGTCAGCTGCAGCTCGGCGGCCTTCAGCTTCTCGTCGCCGGGAATGCTCTTCACGTCGAAGTGCAGCCGAAACCGATGGTGGTGCGGAAATCGGTCGTCGATTTTACTATCTGCAAAGAGGCGAAAGAAAATGATGGTACAGGTGAGTTGGGAATTGGAAAAAAGTGATTACTTAATGATATAACAAAATTATAAGTAAGTTATAAGGATTTAATCAAGGATTTTATTAAAGCATTGCTAGAAAGTGCTTGCCTATAGCTAGTTCATAAGAACAATTACTAAAGAAGTAAATTCTTTTAACTTTTTCTATCCCATAACATATTTAGAACATTATTTCTAGCTGAGGATTATAAAGAAAAAGTCCTATAACCTTGCAGGAATTCCCTTTTTACATCCGGTTTAAGTTCAGGATCCTTACACTCTTGTTTTTTAAGAACGTGGGCCAAAACCCACCTATCATCTGCCTGTTTTATGCACCCCAAAATCGGAATCAGCGAATTAAGCCAGACGATCTGGAGGATCAGGTGATATAAAGCGGGCTCGGATCTCCGGCCAGATGATTAGACACACCTTCGGTCAGCCAGTAGAAGACAGTCTACCTGGATTTCTGGATTGGTAAGTAAGTAAGTAAGTACCCCCTGCTTAAATACACCCACCACTCGAGAGCCGAGAGCGTGGAAAGTGCAGGGAAATCTGGGACAAAGAAGGTCGAAAATCGCACGTTCCAGTTGCCCAGCCGCCTTTTTACGACTGGCGCCTGTGCTAAAGACCCTGGCCCACCCCGGCCTACCTTTTCGGATCTGTATGTATATACATATATTATATATCTTTGCGGCAAGGTGCAAACTCTGCACGCTTGCTGAAAAATCTTAATTTGAATCGACGCCGCTCTCAAGTACCTCGGCCGAAAAAGAAAAGCGAGTCGTAAATTCTTTTGGGAAGCGAGAATCAACCGGAGGGTTGGGATGCGTATCCGAAAACCGACAAACTGTAAACTGCAAACGGCACAGATGCCGCATCTTAGGACGTGGCCAGAAACTGAACCGTAACCAAGACAAACTCGACTCGCCAGTCGGCTTAGACACTTGGCTTTAGACACTTGGTTTTGTGTGTGCGGCTCGGTTATCTTTACCTGCTCTTAACTGCTTTATTGTTCGACCATATAATCCTGCGGAAAATAATGCGAAATACGCTTTAATAATAATTGTTATTCCTACAAATACAATATAAAAGCCATTTAGCGCATGCGCTAAACGTTCCTGGTGTAATTCCTAGGAACATTTTCAAGGTCACTGCCGGGCTGTCATCACGGCAGAGCAGGTAAAAGGACTCTCTCGTCCTTTTAGCTGTTCATTTTGAAAAGCCGTGGAATTTCCGCGTGATTTCACAGTGCTTGCGTGAATGATATGAGGGTGGATCGAAGGATCGGGGGATCGGCGGAGAGCAGGTATGCAAATCGCTTAGATGAACTAGAAATTCAGGGAAAATCCGAATCGCTCTTCATTCGCATTTTGGTAGCGGAAAGTACGCATTGCGATGAGTGGGAATATAAATTAGGGGTAATACAGATCGAAGCCTTTGCCAATGCGCAAACTTCGGAGGAGAGCAGGTGGAAAATGCAGGTATAGGAAGTAATCGAAAATGGATTGGATTCTTTTTATGTCCTAATAAAATGGGCAAGTTACTGTGTTTATGTATATTTCCTAATCAAAATTCCTAGTTTGGGCATTTTGATATGCCTCTCTATCTTTTTGCAAAATTAAAATATATCAACCGATCTAGATAAACCTGTATGTATAAAATTATTCCTTTATAAAATGGAAATTTTTCTCCTTATAATAGAGGCAAAATATTTGGTTAAAGGCAAATATATTCAACAAATATCTTAAAAAAATTCCATTAACGTCTGCATATCTTAGCTTTAGTTTGTGGACCATAGTAATATAACATTTACCCTATTTTAACAAAATTCTACAGTTAAGAGCATGCAATATTTGTAAGTTTATAAGAAGTGAATCTTAGGGACTTAAAATATGCTTAGAAAATGAACACCTTTGAAATAATAAAAACTTAAGGACAGATCATATTAAGTTATTAAAATATTTTAATTGCCTAAGTACTGCCTTTCGAAAATGATATGGGTTTTTCAAAAATTCGTTAAAAAACTGTTCCCAAAGTAATATATCCGGTTCCGGCTTCTATCACCTAATATACGTTGATTTTAAGACTAAATAGTTCTCAAATATTAAGAAGAAACTCACCTTTGTGTGTAAAACTTCGCACTGTATTGGCCGACTTGGTCAGCAGTCCCGGCTTGGGGATGTTGACCGAGTCTAGCTCGTGGCCCATGATCTCGGCGTAGAGCCGCTTCATCGGCTCCGGGATGATGATCTTGGAGCGGTCGATCTTGGGCGGCCGCTTCATGTTGAACAGCGAGAGCAGGCTCTTCTCGATCTCGACTAGAGTGGAGGGGTCCGGCTTGAGCTTGTCCTTGATCAGCGCCTCCTTGCTGTAGGTGGACGGGCCCTGCTCGGCGATGATGGCCCCGGCGTTGGCCGGCACATTGATGGAGGCCACCTCGCGATCGAGGACCAGCGTCGGCTCCTCCACGAAGATTGATTCAATCGACGATTGATGAGATTCTGTGGATGAGGATGCCGCCTTTTGGGCCTGCTGCTGATGGCTCCGCTGGTGGTGGTGGCCATGGTTCTTCTTGTGGTTCTTCTGCTCCTTGACAGCCATTTTGTTGTTGGGTTTATTAACTAATTGTTTAGACTTATTTTTGGAATTTTCTAATTGGTCTGTTCTTGGTTTATGCACTTCGTTGAACTGTCGATTGTTCGCGTCACTGTTGCTATGTGCTTTTTTGTTGTGCTTGTTTTTACTCAGATGGCTTTTATCACTATCACTGAACGAGGAGGGTTCGTTAAATGGATTAAATGCTTTTGCTAATGCTGTGCTGGTTGATGCTCCGTCCGATCTGTTGGAATCAGATCGTGATATTGATCCTGATCCCAAACCTGATCCTGATCCTTCTAGCGGAATCTGAGCGGCTACGGGCGCTATGGCGGCGATGAATCTCTGGGATATATCCTCGGTGCTAGCAACTCGAACGATCGTCTGAAAGGTCGCCAGCACTGCGAGGAGTAGAAGCCATGCGCGCATGGTCGCTTGCAACTCTGAAAAGAGACAAAGACGAAGACATGGGTTAAATAATGATCGGCAAGGCTTATAGCTTCGGGATATTATATGGTATTGTATGGCAGGGAATTCGGATGTGGTATGTGGACTCCGATTCCGATTCGGACTGGGATCTGAGATCTGGGATCGTATTCCACACTTCCACTCAATCCGCTCTTGCACTCACACTCAGGCGGCCATGGGTGCAAGCGGGACGACTATAGGGGTCCAACTCTTTCGTATCTGACAGATACTATCTGGTATCTTTCGCAGTGCGGTCTCGGTGTAGTGTATCTCTGTCTGTGTGTGTCTCTGAGCGTGTGTGCGTTGGACGACGTGCGCTGCGCGACTGAACGCTGGCTCTTCTTCTTCGGCAGGTAAGCGACGTCGGCAGCGGCGGTAGCTGCGACTGCGACAGAGGCAGAGGCAGAAGCAGCGACTGCGGCAGCGACGTCGCTTCCTTTTGGCCCATTTGAGAAGAAAAGAGAGCAGAGCGCCTGGCCAAAGTTTTATGGCCCTACGGGGTGAAAGGTTCTGGTTCTGGTTCTGGCTCTGTTCTCCTGACTTAAAAAATGGTGGCTCTCTTCCCGCTCCCGACCACCCTCCCCCTGAACTCTCACCTGCTCTTCGGCAAGTGTTGCAATCGCAGGCGGACATTGCACCTTTTGCACTGACACACGATCTTTTGGGACCAGCTTTATCGTTTTGTGTCTACGAATAGAAATTCAATATAGCCCCATACCACACCATACCATACCATTCTATAGCATACCCGAAAACCCCCCTCATTTTTGTTCGGTTATTAGAGTAGCTTCGATCGTCATATTTTCCACTTATCGCTCGCCATAGCGCTTTGATTTACAAACAGGCGGCAAATGCTCAAAAACCCTATCTGGAAAATTTATGAAAATTATTAGAAGTATTCTATATATTTTGGTTATAGGCTATAAATTTCCCAGATTTTATCTCAAGATGAGTTTGAGAAAGGTACGCCATACGCACACGCACACACCTAGAACAAATTACATGTTGTTTTTCACATAAAGATTAACATCTTATCTTGTACTAAAAACAAAAATTTGTTATATGACAGGGCGCTTAAGCGCAAAGGGATCCGGGATTGGGATCGGGATCTTTCGAAAATGGTTAAATTGAAAATTGGAATTTTGGAAAAGATGGCACACGCTGGGGGGTGCACAAGATCTTGGGCCTCAGATAAGGCCATGCTTCGAACCGGGGAAATTGGTTGAACTTAGAAATTAGAAGGGGATTATGAAGATTGTGGAAAGGGTGAATGAAATTGAATTTCATAAATACGTTTATGATTTGTTCATAATTTGTTGTTTGTTTTTAATATGTTCCCAGAATTCCACATTCCTTATTCCGTGTGGGTTGTGGTTGCGTGTGGTTTTCAGTTTCAGTTCCAGCCAGAGTTTGGTTGTATTAATAGGTTCTTTACTACCTGCCCGCTGGGTGACGGTTGAACTGGGACAAACGGGGGTTTCCCCTAGACCGACCGGCCCATCGATGAATGCCAGGCGCTATCCGGAATTTCCAAGCTCGCCGTCCATTCAGTGAATCTACGCGTACTAGACACCAGATACGTTACTATATCTAGCCATAACTCGCACTCAGCTCAATCCGAGCTGTGAAATGTCGCAAGCGCCTGCTAAAGTTCAAATTTCAGCTTTTTGTCGCAGCACCAACGACTCCATAAATGTTTCGCAAATTGACACATTTTTATTATTAATGATTAACGTTTGATTCCGGTTACCCAATACCCAAAACGCACACACACTGGCCAAGTTATAGTATAGTAATCTGTGCCGCACATCGTCAGCAATTAGATTGGTTAATAATAAACGCCAGCGTTGGCACAAAACCCTTGGACACTCACGCACCCAGAAGATACAATAGAGTCGAAGACTATATTCTGCCGGGTAATTTATGTGCCAGGATATTGACATTTTTGTTTTGTGTTTGCCGCCGCTTTTTATGTTCCCTTTTTTTTAAGATTTCAGAGGGTCCCATCTTTAATATTAGTTGTGTATCAGAACGGTACTTTATTGTGCTGGCCAACAAAGGTCAAGGGAATTCTTGGAATAGGATCTCGGGTTAGAATACAATACAATTATGATATACGTGGGGAAATATTTTGATTAAGCGCTACACGAAATTATGTTAGCAACAGGTTGATTTAAGTTAACGTCGTGTTCAAACTCACGCCCTATCTATAAGGATAGGTACAGCTTCAAACAATACGTTAGACAGTTAGTCAAACTTATTTAGATCTGATATATAGAATAAAAAAAGAATAAAAAATTAGAATATTTATAAGAAGTCATATCTACACCTAATCTTTCAATACTAAATCATGCTAAAACTAAGTCTTAAAACAAACTTTCATTTACAGGGATAACCAAGCTAAACTTTAATTCTAGGAGAATATGTGATCGAAATTGAAAATTAATATTTTTAAAAATATTTAAATTGTAATACATTAATAACAATCTTTTGGGGCAGAAAAATTCCAGCCAATTGACATTGAAATTGACTGTTGCCAAAGCACATTTGCCAAATATCCCATTACCAATTCCTATAGCCAAGTTTTAACCAAGAACAATTTGAGTTCTCTCAAATATCCGAGACCGAATGCCACATGCCATCGACAAGGCGAACAACCCGAAAATTCCTCGCACCGCCAATAATTTTCCAATATCAAATGAACTTGGCTCTTCGATATCGAATGCACAGCTGTCATTATGCAATGGGCTTGTGTGCAGTTCTCACAAGTTCAAAAATTCACCTCCGCCTCCTTTTCTTCTTTTGACACATTTACATAAGCTTAGGTTGGGGACGAAGGCCCGGCACTCACCTCAGTCTTATAAAGTTTCCTATGGTCGAGTGGTATCGCTTGATATTGGATCTCCGGGTGCCCGTATCGCTCAAGTCGAATATCGATACGACATGTGTTCGGTTATTAATTCGAAAGCCGTGTGATGGATCGCCCGGAAAGCAAGCAAAATAGGAGCGACCAACTGTCTCGTACACTTTTCGTTCCACTGAATTTATGACGGGATTGGATCGGGGAATTCAGAATCTGAATCGAAATCGAATTCGGAATGGGAATGGGATCCGTTATCGCGGCGAGCGGCTTTCGGTTACACTTGGATATATTTGCACAATTTACAGATGTTTATGGCGCTCGGGCCGTTTCGCTTTTCAAATAAATCACGCTTGTGTAAATATCTGATAGGGATGTCGGCTACTGTTACTGTTTTCCTTCGATAATTGTAGATGAAGTAGATCGAGTTCTTGTTGAAAATAGTGTTGCCGCATTCGAGGCGCACCTGGTCGGTAGATGTGGCTGGGATCGAAATGCCGCGGCACATGACACCCTGAAAGAGCCCTGGGGTTAGGATCTGGGATCTGGATGTGGATCTGGAGCTGGGTATCTGGCGGATACACCTGTCACCCGGCGGCTCCTTCGGCTGACGATTCGCAGGTTATCCACATATTTTCCAACTGACACTCACGCACTTTGTTTTCAAACCGTATCTGGGGGCATCTCCAGTATCTGTTTCTCTATCTGTATCTGTATCTGTATCTGTTTGTTGTACTTATTTCGTATTCACAGCTTTATTTGCTTTGGCTGGCTGTTCGGATTTCAGGGTTTCCCTTTACAACCCGTCAGTTGACATTCCACACACCCAGCAGAAGACACACACTCGCGCACAACAACCTCAAATGCCTCAATTTCTTTGTTTCCGCACTGAGATCTTTTGGGGGTATCTTCACGCCTCACGTCGCGAATCAGTCAGATACTTTTTCTGTATTTTTTTGGTGGCCCGAGAATTTTTCTCGAAAGCTTTGGGTTCACGCCAAGTGGCTCACTTTCCGCCGCTCATTTCGCTATAGATTTAAACTCGATCAGCGCTGTTGAACGACTAACGCCTTTCTGTCTACCTCTACCTGATTCCGATACTTCAGATACTCGGCTCGGTTACACACACACCGACGTGCCGAGCACACAGATACACACTTCGGCAGCTCCACTCCACGAAAGAGAGAGAGGGAGAGAGAGAGCGAGCGCATAGCATAGCCGAGAGCGTCGCAGATCGGGAGAACTCGGAAAGTTGGGGCCGTAGCCCCATCTCCATCATTATCGCGATCATGATCACGCATCTCGTCTAGCGTTTCTCGGTTTCGGACTCGGATTCCCAGCCAGCGCGACGTCAAGATCTTCCTCGTTTTTTCGCCGCTCTCTTGAGTGACCGCGCAAACACTCAACCAGTTAATTGGTCGACGTTCTCTGGGGTTTTGAGTGGTTTCTCCGCTTCTCTCTCCCAGGAGAGAACCCACTCGGGCATTCATTCTGAGCTTTTTGGTTCAAAAGTCTTGGGGGTTTCAAGGCAGGCATTTTGTAAAACTCAGGGTGGGTACTAAAGGTTTTCAGCTTGTGGTGAAATGTTCTCTTTATTAACTTAGAAATTTGGGAAGTAGTCCGAATATATTTATGCCAGAGAAATTAAAAGATATAATTGAAATAGTCTGGTTTTGCCTACAATTCTTATAGATTTTAGACTTCATACGAATTTACAAAAAATAGTATCTCGCTTACTTACCAAATACAAAATTATAAATTAAATGCTTTGAGATCGAATAATCAGCGAAACAATGGAATAGCTGAGCACAGTTTTGACTAATAATAGAAAATGTAGAACAAACACTTTATTTGATTTTTGATAGTCGTGGATTTCAAGGAAATATTCCAAACAATTACTTCCTTTTAAGTGAATATTTAATTAAAGCAGACAATAATACCCAGTTTTATTTCATGGAGATTAAAGTTTCTATAAATAACAGTGAACTATTATTTGACAGTTGGTATTCTAATCTAAATAATACCTTATTAGCCACTAGAGGTTCTATAAACTTCCTAAAACTCTTTTGAAAATGGTAAGAATAAGTTCTTTTTCACCTATCAGTTTTTAAAACTTTCTTAAAATCCTTTATAAATCTTAAAAACAAGTATTTTTCCTCTAGAAATTCTAGAAACTTTTCAGAACTCTTTAAAAATCGCTCCCCTACTTACATTTGACACTCCTGCGAATTAAGTATCCAATCAACTGGGTCGTTTCCTTCGGCCAGCAGAGTGGAGCATTTAGCTCTCGGGGATCGGGATTTCGAGCTGCACGAGCGCAATGAGCCAAGTACGAAACCAAACTGTCTGCGCATTCCTGGAGTCTGGGACCTCGGATCTTCCGATCTTCCGATGTTCGAATGTGCCAGCCAGCCAGGCAGCGATGGTATAATGACGATGATCATGATCATGATCACCGATCACCGCACATGCCATGGATATGGATGGCACAAGTGCGAGCGAGAGCCCCCGACTTTCTGTTTTCTCGTCTCTGTGTGTGTGTGTGTGTGCTTAGGTAACGAAATCCTTGGCAACAACACAAACAGAAAATGAAATCAAAAAGTCAGGAATTAGTATAATTTTATTGGTCGGAAGGCAAGAGGTAAAAAAAGGGCAGTGGTGGCAGCCATAAGAATGACACATGCCGGCTCTTTCGCACTCAGGCACACAGATACTCGGCACCAATACACAAGCACTCGCCCAGCTAAATGCATTTTAACTGCCTTTTGTTGTTGCACTTGTTTGTTTGTTTGTGGAGATGACTCTACGTTTAGTAACTCGGGGCTCTTTCCTCAACTCGAAGATCTTCTCCGACTTCGAAACACCCGCGCATGCGCAGCCAACGTGACTCTGCCACAAAAGATTGCTGTTGCTGTTGCAGTTGCAGCAGTTTTTGCTGCTGCAGTTTTTACCAACTGAGCAGGTGCCGCAGACCAGCCAAGAAGACGGCGAATATCGGGGTTTTGTAGGTGGAGCTGGCTTTAAGACTCACACAATGCCAAAAGGGTTTTGGGCAAAGCTGCCAGTTGGCTTTCTTTAAGGTCTGATTGGGGTGGGAGAAGTCCTAAATACACTTGAATTTATATATTTATAATGTTTTTTATAATATACTAAAACCTATATTTGATATATCAAGTAAGTTTACCATATGTAAGATGACTTTCTGCTGAGTTCCTCCTTATAGAATTGGTTACTACTTGCTTATTAAATGCATTTTCTGATTGTTGTTATAATATATGTGTCTTCCTATCTTCTCTTGAATCGGGTTTTTCAAAGATTAAAGTCCTATGAGGAAACCTTTTGTGTGACAACCGGAAATGAAGCTCAGTTAAGAGAAATCCCTGTATACTCCCTACTCAGTTGCTATCCCATTGAGGACCATTGGCGTCGTCTGGACGAAAGACTGACCAAATGGAGCGTTGCCAGACATTGTGGCTTTACTATACTTTGGTGTTCTTATGCCACACATGGCCAACTGGCGCCAAGGCTTCTTAAGTAGCCTTTGTTCCTGTCCAGTTCTTCACTTGTCGCCGTCTGTCCGGCACTTGTGCCTCCCTACTTACGGCGAGCATCGGATTTCCCGGCTATATCTACGGTTCTCGAGAACACAAGATGAAATATTTGCTTAAAATACATTGTATTAAATTATTATAAATTGAAAGAAGACGTACTTTTAACAGAAAATAGTGAAGATATAATATAATATATTATATAAAGATTTGCTTTCAGCACTAGCAACTTCTAATTACCTTCTCACACTACAATAATAATACCTCCAAGAAGATCCTAACACTTTGGATGGTTAGATCTAGAAACGAAACCCAGTCGCCGTCGTCGCTTTGGCTGCTTAACCCCATGATGCCCCACCTCCCCGCGGTGATTCATGCCCATTGGCGCACAGAAAAACTCCACGCCACTCCACACAGATACAGATACAGATACATTTACCGAGAAGAAGGCGGGCTCCAAAGTTCGTGGAGATCCTTTTGTATGTTAATCGTCTGTCTGATTTGTCCGTCTTTGTGTCTCAGTGTCTTTGTGTGCTGTGTTCTTCTGGTCTTCTGGTGTTCTGGTGTTCCCATGATGGTGTTGGTGTCGTTCTGTGCTCCTCCTTCGATTCGCTTGGTCTCTTTTCCTCTCTCGCTCTGCCGCTGCATCCGGCAGATAAACAGATACAGATACATTTGCCCTGTGGAATGCCGGCTCTCCACTCAACTTTAATGGCACTTAATTACCTTTTGCACGGCCCTGCTTATCGGACCACCAGAAATCGGAGTCCTTGGACGGCTTATCGCCGTTTGCCATCCCTGGCGCTACTTTCACTGGACCAAAAACGAAAAATTAAACCGAAAGAAAAGAAATACGAAATCCATTATCAGCTGCCGTTCATTTATCAAGTGCTCGTGTGTCATTTGTTAAAGACAAGTGCCTGGCAAAAACATCTCGCAGCGCAAAAACTCTCAAGTTCTGGATGGGAATGGGAATGGGAATGGCATCATGATGCTAGACGGGGGTACTGATACTGGACGGCTGTCTACTGACCACATGCCAGGACCTCGGGCACAGCAGGATCATCTCGATCCCTTTTAGCATTCTGTTTTCCCTGGCACTCAACGGGGGCGTGCGTCCTAATAGTCCTTGCAGCGGATGGGAACTGCAAGGATGCGGGTTCCTTGGTTGAGCAGGGATAGTTTAATCAAAGTCTAGGAGGCTGGGTTTTTGAGAGTAACTATTTTTAACACCGAAAAAATATAATACCTACTATTTACTATATTTTTTATTAGACTTCTTATAATATTTGTCGCCCTTTGCTTAAAAGTTATACATATTTAATGATTTTATATAAAATTTGGAGAATTCAATAAATTTTGATTTCACTTTACTAATATTTTTTTAATGGCATTGAAACTAATCTTCCTGTATCAACCTCATCAATTTTTAGTAGTTGTCCTCAAGCATTTTATTATAATTTCAAATTTGAATATACGTTTTACAACCTAAAGAACCTCATATATTCTTACTAAATTTGAGCACATATTATATAATATATATATACATATTATATAATATATATATATATATTATATTATTCTTAACAGGGTTAAACTAATATCTAAAAGTTACATATGGTTCCCAAACTAACTCTTGCTAACTAATTTACGCCACAATTATGACAAATAGCCAAAATATAATATATTAAAGCCAAAAATTACTGATAAAGATAAGGGTGTCCTAATAAAGATATTTATTTCCCTAAAAACATCCCCTCGCCAATTAGGCAACATAATACCTACGCCCATTATTACGTGTTCTAGTGTTTCAGCTGGTTGTGCACACACAGCCTGCTCATCAAGAAATGAACCTCATTAGGGGATCCTTTATACGTGTCCATTGATTCGCTCCGTTTCGCTGCTGGCCGGCTAATCAATTACCATCGAGGAGCAGACTGCGAACAAAAGTCGCCAAACAATGCCGCTTGTTGGCACGTGGACGGCAGTCGAGAGCCTTTCACCGCCGCCTGCCTTCAACTTGATGGAAAGGTGACAGTCACAGTCACTTTAGAAAAACCAGCTACAGATACAGATACAGATACAGATACAGATACAGATACAGATGCTCGTACGGCTACAAAAACCCAAACCTCATGAGGCAGCCGCAAAACTGCAGGCGAACAGAGCCTCCTATACGATACAAATACAATCCGAATACGAATCCGATTCCTACGACAATCGTCGATTGTTGCTCGACTGGATTCTGGATTCCCTGCCCTGTCTTTTGTTCAATTAAAACGTTATTATTGTGTGTTTCGCTCTGCGATGAATGACAAACTGGCTGTAAAGTGCAACTGCAACTGGGGACTCGAAGTCTAAGTTGCATCTTGTGAAAGCTGATCCTGAACGTTTTGTAAGAAGCGGGGCATGGATATGGGTTTCGGTCTGGGTCTTAGCTGGGTTTTGTGTTCGGGATCCGAGATCTTGTGGTAATTTGATGCTGCCGCCGATGTCCCTGCCTTTGTTGTCGGTCGGAATCGTT